ATGTAGGAAATAAGACACAGCTCCCTTTTGTAGCAGTAGCATTACTTAACTCTTTTTGTGCCAAGAATTATCAGCGTATATAGTTATAAGGTGTAAAGAAAGGCAGCAATAGAGAAGTACATGGTACAGAAAGAGTTAACTTAGAGCTGTGCTTTATCTAGACTTCAAGTAGAGTGTGTAACACAAGTACATTTGTTAGATGCAAGAGTGATTTAATTTCATTCGACTTTTTTCTGGTAAACAATTTGAAACAAAACTTTATCCGATAAGAATGAATGATTTGAAGAAAAATCATTAACAAAACAAAGACATTTTTTTTTCTGTTTCATCATGTGGGCTAAAAAATTATATAGCTGAGCTTATTTCATCTTAACCCTCTCTGCACTAAATGAATCAGCATTAAGTGGTAAAAATCTAGCAGTAAATTTCTCTCAGAATGCTCATACAGTTAAGGAGCTCAGTTGCATGGGATCTGTAGGCTCCATGCAGGATCCCAAACTACTCAAAGGGTTTAACTTTAACTTTAACACTTAAGCCTTACAGTCCCAGTTACTTATTTTTCCCTCAGGATCCTCATCCACCAAGGCCAATTTCAGTATATTTCCCTCACAGGGTATCAGTCACCTAAAACTAAATCTGATATTTTTACGGTATTAATCCATCCATTTGCCTCTGAAAAATATTCTACAAATTTTCTGAAGCTTCAAACAAAAGCAGTAGACTACAGGAATTTTTTAATGTTTGGAAAAACTTACACGCACAGTTCGACCTAGTATTGGCAGAGCCCGAAGAGTCAACTACTCCTGTATTGCCTCGGCCAGAGGGTTAAACGAGGGCTAAAAATAGCCCAGTACGTGCTATAAGGAATAAATCAAATACTGCTCTGTTAAATTGTCAAGCCCGAGAGAATTGTCAGAAGAAATATTTAGACAAGAGCCACGTACATTTTACATGAAAGACATGAGGGGAAAACATAGAGTCTGGATTCAACACTCAGATTTGTTCATCGCATCGCATTGAAAGTTTATCGGTCAAGTCAAAAGAGCAACGTCATTTTCCTTTACAAAGCACACTTTTTAGAGGTCAGTACAAAACCTCAACCTGTCAACACACACGGAAAAATCCAGACCTCACAACTTATACATGATATGTATAACATTTAACAAGAACATAATTATATAAATTATGCAAGATAGATTAAAACATTATGAAAAAGTGTACAGAGGGTAAGTAGCCTACTTCTTGCAAACACACACACACACACACACACACACACACACACACACACACACACACACACACACACACACACACACACACACACGCACACACACACACACACACACACACACACACACACACACACACACACACACACACACACACACACACACACACACACCAAAAAACCCCCACTGGAAACACACCAGTTACAAGCCAACTACAAAAAGATCAAGAACAAAAATACAACCAAAAATGAGAGTATTAACAAAAATTCAAGAAAAAGGATGTTTAGTAAAATGGCATGTCAGCCAACAACTGCTAACTATGAATCAGTACAAAGAAATGTACAGTACACAAAAACAAAAAAGCAGCCTTTTGTTGACTTACAAAAATGAATTCTGCAAACATGGACCAATGCAAGTTTAGAAAAAGATGTACCATGGGTATAATATCAGGTGATCATTGGAATGTATTTGAGAGAGACAACAGCATGTGTTATTTAGCACAGAAAATTCCTTCCTTAAAACTATACATCAAAGTGAAAGAAGGGAGAACAGTTAGCATTCAGACAAATCTATTCTAACAAAATTATGATTTTTCTGGCTATTCTGTCCAAAGTATCAGCTTGTTTTCATAATCCTGTACCTGTAATCCATCCTGAATAAACTTGCAAGATGAAAATTTAAGATTCATTTCCCTCTTTCTTTAATAAAAACATTAATATTCTCTAAAATCTGTTATTTGTCACTTGATGATAACTTATGATGAAGCTACACAACTTCTCTATGCATTATTTGAACACTGAAGTGATGTTTCTCAGAACACTCATACATTTCAGGAATGAGGTTCTGAAAGTATGGCCTAACTTAGATTATGTCTTGTGTGACTTTATCTACTACAACAATACACTATATGTGTCACAACTTGGTGGGTTCAGGAACTCGTTCATATTTGAGTATATGGAGTTATTGGTATCATCTTAAAGATTGTTCATTTGCCTTGCATTTAATGAAAAAAATATCCATTTATCTTGAATAGAAGTCGAGATATTTGCGATTGAAGGAGGTGGGGTCGCCTGATTTCAGAAGTAAACATAGCAAGAAAATGACCGCTAAAGTTTAGTGACTTCCATTGCTCAAGAGTCCTTGAACATTGTAAATTTACACTTTTCGTGCCTCCAAACTGGTTGAAAAATGCCAATTGCTTCGATTTCAATATTTTGACGAGTGCCTAATTTCACCACGATGCATCGCATATGACTTTGCAGCTTACTCAGACCATGTAAAGGTTAATTAACTCTCCTTCCAATATTGTGAGTCTGTCAGAAGGCAGGACATCCGAATTTAACAATAACATCCATCTCTGATGGGTGTGTAGACCTTTGGTATAAAATTATCCAAGATAGTGCTCTCTGGCATAAATTCGGTTCACCATAGGGCACACCATTTGACTCTATTTGGAACTAAATGAAAGGCAAGAAGGGAAAAGTTGGGCACGCATTCGACTATAGCAAAGATAGTGAATAACAAGATGGGCCACTCAGCCAAAAAAGTGTCCGCAGAAAGTATGCTCTTTGCTTCAGATGGCGCTGCAGACTGTTTTGAAGCTCTCTTTCGTTTTTCCAGAAGAAGAATAGGAATAGCACCTCCTTGCGTGCGCAGATCGACTGCTGTTCATCAGCAGTTCGGGTACGTTCAGTGCGGAGTTTTAGTTTTTGAAAAATTTTAATGACCTTTCGCCTTTCATTCTAAAGTCAAATTAAACGAAGAAAACCATCACCCTTTCCTCCGGAAGAGGTTTTTTGTCAGCGTAACCATTTTAAAAAAGCATTCTTCCGAAATTTATCCCAAAACTTGCTAGTTTCACTTTGATTTTTTAAAACTCAAGTAGGGTAACTCTGTTCGCAAAGAGTGCGCTTTTGTGAAGAGGGCGCCACCAAATTTTTAGGACACTTTTTTAATTGGCTCAAAGAGAGAAGTGGCCCATCTTGTTATGTACTATCATTGACTATAGTAAGACTGGTGTTTTGCTCTTCATTTGCACACTCATAGTGCACACCAACGCAATAAAGTTTTGCTCTTCATTTGCACATCCATGGTGCACACCAATTCAACAAAGTTTTTATAGAGAGCAAGGAGCGGCAGCTATAACTATGCACGGTCTAAGATAGGCTCTATATTTTATAATTCAAGTCTATGGACAGGACTATGCCAAGGGGGCGGAGAGTCAACTCCCTTGACAACCAAGGTTAAAAAATGCTAAAAATTAAGGATTCGAACCAAGGTCATCTGCACCATAGCCCAGCATGATACCAGGTGAGTTAACGGCTAACCTATGTAAGTAATCCCTGAGAGAACAGAAATAAATCATGTAGGAATACGCGAAGGCCTCGAGGAATGACAGACTTTTTGTAGACTCAGAGCTCAGGCCACAGAGGTGTTTGTTGGCATCACAAGAGACGTCATAAAGGCATTTTAGTTTTTTCAGTTTTAAAAAGTTTTACGTCACTTGCAACACAAATAGGTCACATAAGTATCAAAGAATTGAGAAGTCATGACATACAAAGAAAAGAAGAAGCAAAAATAAGGATGATAGATGCTTGATAAGAAAGAAGGAGCTGACCACACTAGAGCACCTGCCAACCATCCACATATAAAGGCATTGAAATGTTAGAGGAGAGAAAATCAGTAGAGATACCTATTCGTGTGTCTGAGTAAAACCAGACGCACAGACACAATACAGAAAAATGCAAGAAAGAAAGTCTGAGACAATAGCGGGAAAGAAAAGAAATAGGATCAATGTATGGCCCCCTCCAACCGCCTGATAGCTACCCTCGACCAAGACACAGTGCATCACTACACACTCGCTGCTTATCACATAGACGCTGAATGAAGAAAGTTGATGTCATGATATAAATATACCGTATCAAAAAACATTTTTGCTGCAACAGCGAGGTAAAAAAAAGTCTGATGGAAAAGTTTTTTGAAACATGATAATAGAAACAAGGATGGTATCAGTCATGATTTGTCACTTAGAACTGGGAAAAAAGCAAGACAAAAACAACAAAGGAAAGATGAGAAGTAGTAGGTCCAACCAACAGCACCCTTCACCTACCCACCGCAGCAAACTGGATAAAAATTGGTCATTAAAAAATTCAACAGAAAACTTAGCACAATTGAAAATACAGCATTGAAGTTTGCCTACAGCCACACGGCAAAAACCAATGTATAAAAGAACACAACACACTATCATATACTCTAAAAATAAAGGAACAAAATAATTTAGCTGACAGAATCTCAAGGGAAAATGTCCTTAGAGAAAAAATAAATACATGCATACCGACACAATGAAGACAGGAAAATAAATTATCTTATCTCATAAATGCAAATCTCCACAGATGCAAAAAGAGAAAAAAAAAGATTGACTTGCACCCTGCATCTCACTTATTATGTTTTTCCCCGATTTTGCTTCTAATGGTAAAAAATCAACCCAGGGCAAAGTCTGTCCGTGTCCTATCTCAAAACTTCTCAATAAAAATATGTTTAAAACAAACCAGTGATATATATATGTATAATAATTTGGGGATGGCCGGGGGGGGGGGGGGGGGGGGGGAAAACCACTCCCTTTGTTCTTAACTCTTTACTTTTAACTCTTCTTTTTCTTCTTTCATCTCCCTCCTTCTTTTCATTCTTCCTTCTCCCTCCTTTCCCTTCTTCTGCCTTCTTCTTCTTCTTCTTCTTCTTCTTCTTCTTCTTCTTCTTCTTCTTCTTCTTCTTCTTCTTCTTCTTCTTCTTCTTCTTCTTCTTCTCCTTCTTCTTCTTCTTTCATTTTCTCTCCCTTCTTTTTCCTTCCTCTACCATCTTCTAAAGATTCTTTATTGGATGAGAACTTTTGCAGACAACATCCACAGTTTGGATGCATGGCGCTGAACACTATATAATTTCCATCCTCACATTTTTGTCCCTGTGCCACAAGAAATCTTGAATCCAGAAATGACCACCTCTATTTTTCTCCACTTTGAAAGTCAAACAGAGACGTGACTTTTTCCCCGAGCACACATCTCATTTACTTGTAGCACCCACAGGCCAGACAGCAGAAGCAGCAAACTTGTGTGGCCATGCTGTAGCTCTTCTCTTCCTTAGGGACAACTTGAGATCGAGTGAAGGTCAAGAACACCTGCTCCAAGGTTGTCTGATGGACAGAGTAGTCTTCGACGTTCAGATTCTGTTTTGTTGTCTCCATGAGCTCAAACACATCTGCCAAGTGGATGTTTGCGTCAGGAACTTGGAAGTGAACGTAGCCTTGATGATCGTCAAAAACCTGGGGAGCATAAGGAAGAGTGGCTGTCATATGACCGTAAATGTTTTGATAAAAGTTAGATAATTTAGCCTACTTCAACCCAGTCTGTCAGAGCCGATCAGAGGTAAGTGGGATATACAGCATCACAGAGGACAGACTACTTGAGCTTTAAATTATAGCATAATAAAAAAAAATCACATATCAAATTATACTTTTCACAAAAAAGAACTGCATCACTTTGCCACGTTGACAAACACAGGTCAAGAAAACAACTCACAAGTACTGCTGAATAAAAAAAACAACAAATCTTGCCATTCATGACACCTGTTATAATATATGAGACCCCTGATATATGAGTCTAGATTATGCGTTTCTTTTCTTGAAGAGTATACTTTGTAATATATGAAATGTGCTGACAAAATGAGTTACTTCTCACAATCTGTGAATGTAGATATTGGCCAAAAACCGTCACAGTGGTCAAATTTATAGACTTTTATTTGAGCCACTTTCTTCAAGTCTTTTATCACGTCATATTAATACATGTATATTGTATACATTTGGTGAATCTATTTCCATATAAGCATTGGAGAATATTGTAACAACAGGAAAGTTTGATGAAAAGAGAGGCAGAGGCAGACAGAGGATAAAGATACTGGACAAGATTACACCATGGCTAGGAGCAGCAAGAACAACAGACACCATTGCTGCAACACAAGACAGAGTGAAGTGGGGGTCCATGATCGCCCACGTCAGTCGGAAAGGCACCGGATGATGACGATGATTTCCATAAGGCTAAAATCCCAGTGGTAACTCATTTTGTCAGCCCGCCTAAGATACAATTATCTCACAATCACAAGGACTACTGATGTCACCCCGCTCACCTTTGCTCCAGGGAAGTTCTGCAGGATGAACTCAATGACCGGTTGGTTCGGGGCCGGATAGCCGTTGTCCAGGACGCCCAGCTGGACAATGAGGGTGTAGCCTTGACCAAACTTGTTCTTCAGGTGTTGAGGACTGCCCAGACACATGAACTTCCCGTTGACCATGATGGCAATTCTCGTGCACAGAGCGTCGCATTCTTCCATACTGGTTTGGTGCAAAATGAACAAAAAAATTGTAGATTTTTATTAGTTTGTTTGTTATAGTAAAATTTGTAAGTCTTAGTTGGAGTGAGTTAGTAGGTGCTGATGAGTTTAGTTTTCCCTTCTGTCCTTATGTGTGTATAATTAATGTATGCTTGAGAAAGTTCTTCCTGATGTGGTTGATTCTGTCCTTATGTGTGTATAATTAATGTATGGTTGAGAAAGTTCTTCCTGATGTGGTTGAACTGGTTTTCTTGTATATATGAAATGTTTTTTCTGGTGTATGTGAGGTTTTACTCCCAGTAATCATGTCATCGATGTAAAACGTTCTGAGCTTATACCTCTATGGAATAGAGTGATATATAAATGCAATTATTATCATTATTAAAATCATCATCATTATTATTTTTATATTATAATCATTATTGATAGTACTGTTATAGTCAACATTATTATTATTATTATTATAAGCTGTATGGGTTTGTTTGTATTTGTGGTTGGGGTTAGTGTGCACTTTGGTGTTGTTTGCTTCTTCTTTCCTATGAAAAATTTATTGTTATTATCTCTCCTCCTTTCTCTCTCTGCATGATACTCTCTAGCAACACCTTTAGTCTTTGGCACTTATATGACCTAATTGGGTTGCAAGTGTGTTTGATTTTGAAGGTCACAGTCAAATTTTCCCTGAATTCAGTCCTACTGTGTTAATAAAATGGTAGCTTTCGCATACAATGAAGGAAAATCTGGCTGGTCCTTACCCAATCCGATGAATCAGAGTACACTAGCTATAAGAGGCAGAATTATAACATCCATTCCCAACTGCTCAATACCAAGTTGGCGGACAGCCTTGAACATTTTCTTCAAAATTCTCCAAACGACTCAAGATAAAAAAACCCCGCCCCCCTTTGGATTCAAACCATGACCATCTGCACCACATCCTAAAAAAACAAACAAACAAACTGAGCTAACAGAAACCTCTGGTTTGGACCAGGGACATCAATAAAAGAAATAACAATAAGTTTAAGAATGAGGAAAAACCCAAATACAAATTTGCAGAAATCTGTCGAAACTAACATTTTTCAAAAATTGCTTTTTTTGTAGATAAAAAAAGACCATCAGAATGAAAAATAAATGCAGGGCTTTGAAACAAAGAGAAAAAAGTGGAAAATGTAGAAAAAGTGAATCCTTTGATTTACAATCTGTCGACTGTTGAAGGAAAAACAAACAAAAAAACAAACAACATAATATAAATCAGTTCCATGATGGGTGGTTGGAGGGTGCCACTGGTAGGTCCAACTTCTTTTTTTTCCCACTGTTGTCTATGTCGGTTATCTTTCTTTTTCTCAGCACTGAATGGCCGTTAAAAAAAGTAAAGTTGTTCCCGCATCCGATCCGGACATTGGGGATTGCCTTGTTAGTGAGACAACTTCCTGGGCCTTCGGCACATTGTGGTAGGGTGGCCAGTTCCTTTCCAGGCCGTCTTTACTTCCCCAACTCGAAGTCAGGTACCCATTACTGCTAGGAGGGCAGGATGGGGCGAAAAAAATGGCCATTATCTCTTCAAAATGCCTTAATAATAATAATAATAATTGCATTTATATGGCGCATATCCAAGCTCAAGAGCATGCTCTATTCGCTTTACAACTATTATTACCCCAGCAGACCCTCGCTGAGAACACTCAGAAACATTCTCGGCTTCCGCGGAAGCGTACAGTGCAAGCAGCGGATTTCACGTGCTCAAACACTATCAAACTGACAAGATCGCTCACTGTCTATAGCCGGATACCCATTTCCACCTGGATGAAGTGAGGAAAATTTGTGCAAAGTGCCTTTCCCAAGGACACAACGTTGGGGCCCCTGACGGAATTTGAACCCACGACCTTACGGTTGCGAGTCCGAGAGCCTAACCACTAGGCCACCGATGCCTTGATAAACTCAAACAAAACCACGACCACTCACCTGTGAGACGTGAGCACCAAGGTACGCCCCGAGGCTCTGACTTGCGACAAAACGTTCCACAACTGGCGACGGGCCTTGGGGTCCATGCCTGAGCTCGGTTCGTCCAGCATGATGAAGGGCGGGTCACCAACCAGGGCCATGGCTGTGCTCAGCTTTCTCTTGTTGCCTCCGCTGAAAAAACCCAGAGATGTGCGGGTGAAAGGAAAGTTGTATATTATGCTTTACTTATTTATCTATTCATGTATTTATTTATCTATTTATCAATTTATTTATTCATTTATTTATTTAATCTTTCATTTACATCCAAAGTATAGATGTCCATCATATGTGTTATTCAATAAGATAGGTTGTGTCTCCTGCTTGTAATCAGGGGGCAATAGGTCTGCTCCTCCCTCAACTCACAGAGAAGATGGTGAGAAAATGGGGAGAGGCAGCGGTTTTTTAGTTTTCGTTAGAGTTTTACAGCACTTGCGACACAATAAGGTCATAATATAAGTGCCAAAGATTAGAGGTGTTACAAGAGAGTGACAAATACAAAAACGAAGGAGGAGAGATAAGGACGATAGATGTTTGATAGGAAAGAAGAAGCAAACTCCACCAGAGCACCCTCCAACCACCCACAGAGGCATTTGGGGGGGGGGAGGTAAGGCTGGGGGAATAGAGAAGGCTACTGCTCTGTTCCATGACAATCTCATTACAATATCTCCATCATGTACTGTACCTGTATTGACCGGCCAGTTTGTCCGCATGTGGTCGCAGCATCAGGATGTCCAACAGGAAGTTGACCACCATCTTGATATTTTTCTCCGGCACTCCCCTGAGGCGGGCGTACATCGTGAGCGTCTCCCTCCCGGTCATCTGGTCAATCAAGGCGTCGAACTGGGGGCAGTAACCCATGTTGGCTTGCACCTGAAGACGATAAAGATTGGAAATGTTTTACACATCCATCAACAAAATTTACATAAATACTCTATTTCTGGAAATATCTTTGTATAAAATACAAACACAAGAACAATTGCAAACTAGGACACCCCCCTTAAAATTTTTTTTAGATGAGGGCACACCAAGGGGGATAAAAATATAACAAGCTGTACTTCATGAAAAAAAGTTAAAATAAAAAAGAACTAAAAATAAAACCAACCCCTCTACTTCTATTGATTCCCCTTGCAAAAATTGTTTTCCAATTACAACCACAAAGCATAGGCCAATATTGTGATTCATCAATGTTACATATTCCAAAATATCACACCAATACACAAAACACCATCGCCAGTCGCTACTGAGCAGTGCCCTGTTGTTTTTTTTTCTGTTTTTTTTTTTTTACAATGGATATCATGTCTTGCTCAGGGACATTCCCCTAAAGACCATCTACCAAAATGCTGAGTCACCAACATATGGTTGACATTATTGTAATCCATAGCTCACCACAATCAGTCAGCTACTGAAGCCCCGTAAATGAAATCAGCAGGAAAAGAAAGGAAAACTCTGATACCTATCAAAATTTCTAAAAGAAGAGATAAGGATAATCTGATATAACTATCACAATTATAAACAATTAGTTCTAACTTTGATCAACACTACTCACTTTTTTTATCTCACTGCGAACATCATGGCCCTTGAGGTAAGCGTTGCCACCTGTGACCATTACATCCCCCGTCAACATTTTGAACGTAGTGGTCTTTCCAGCACCGTTCTGCCCGAGCAGTCCAAAGCACTCTTGTTCCGGCACGCCCACACAGATGTGGTCGACGGCGACAAATGTACCGTAGCGTTTGAACAGGTTCACCAGCAGAAGAGAATCTGTAAATAAATATTTTGATGATATTTTTTTTTTTTTTTTTGGTAAGTGATTTACGGTGCTCGCAACTGCATAAGGTCATATGAGCGCACCGGACACATTTAACATTTTCAACTGGTAGGAAAATTTTGAATTTTGCCCAGATGACGGCCAAAGCCAACTCTTTTATTGATTTTAGACCACCAAGGGATCTTTAACGTGCGCAACTTGCACATGGGACCTCCGAGATTTTTTGCCCTTGACTGAGAAGACTATGTGTAGATCTTTCCTACTAGAAGATCAGGGGTGTGGCTGAAAGACAGCAGTAAGAAGGGGAAAAAGAGTAGCAGTAGAAAGGCTGCAGAAAGAGTCAGGAGCCCAAAGGAGGGGGAAAAGGAGGTTGGGTGGGGGGGGGGTGGGGGCAGAGAGTGGAGACGAAAGCAGATGACTGAATATTGCTGCAGAGCAGGAAAGGAGGTGAAAGGAGACAATTTCAGAGATAAAAACTTTTTGTCGCTATCCGGATTCGAACCTGGGAATGAGAGGCGAACACCTTAACCTCTAAGCCACGAGAGCCCCCATTTTGATCATTAATTGTATAGAACTTCCACTGAGAGGTTATGAAAGCAATAAGTCTTCGACATAATTTAATGCCCCCATCTCAGATAGGACTAGGCTAAGCTTCTTTTCAAACCATTTGAACAGGTTTACCAGCAGAAAAGAACCTTTAAATTAATATTTGATTATAAACTGTACAGTTTTTTTTTATACTTCCCTTTCAACAAAATTGTAAGGTTAAGAAAGTGATAAGCCTTCAACAGAGTTAAATGTCCCCACCTCTATAAAGATTGATGTCCCCACCTCTATAAGGATTGAGTCAAGCAGGCAGAGAGCCTTGAAAACTCTCCAAACAATCCAAGTTACTTTTAAGAATACCCCACTTGGAGATTCATACAAGGGCCTCCTTCCTCTTTCTCTCTTTTTCTCTCTCTTTCTACCACTCTCTCTCTCTTCCTCTATCCTGCTCTCTCTCTCTCTCTCTTTCTCTCTGTCTCTACCTCTCTTTTGCTTTCTCGCTCTCTCTACCTTTCTCTCTACATGTACCTTTCTCTCTCTCTCTCTCTCTTTAGCTTTCTCACTCTCTTTACCTCTCTTTCTCTCTCTCTTTTTCTTTCTCACTCTCTCTATCTACCCCTCTCCCTTTCTCTCTTACTACACCTCTCTCCCCCCCCCCCTTTTTCCTTTCTCCCATCCTCTCTATCTCCCCACTATAAACCTGAATACACAAATGTTTTACCTGCGTTAGACAAGACAGATGCTGGGCTGGAGTTAACTCTCTGCCTCTCTGCAGCCACGTCACTGTCCTCTGCCTGCCCTCCTGCCGACTGCTCGTAGGATGCGGGTTCCATTCCCATGTTGGGGGCACCACGGATCAAGTACCTTTTGATGAGTGTGGGGGTAGATATAGTTGGTGATTTTTACAGAGAGGTGGGGGGGAGTGGGGGGGGGGGGGAGTGAGCAGTGGGAGACGGGAGGGGAGTGAGGTAGGGAAGAAAAGACTAGAGAGAGAAGAAGAGGAAAAAGAGGAGGGATGGAGAGAGATGTAGGAGAAAAAGAAAGATGTGGATTCACAGATCTTCAATTTACCTGGCAAAAGTATACAGCCGTGAACTTATTTCCAAACATATTGACCAAAAAAAAAGATCTCTAAACCTCTGTAGCAAGAAAGCACAAAGGCTGATCAAAACAGTTTATAAAAGAGAATCATAGATTGTGGAAAGTTGCTGCAGCTCACTCACATACACATACACACAAACAAATACTTCTAACCACACACACCCACACACCAACACATACACCCCTCCCCCCCCACACACATACACACTCGTCCTGACTCACCAGATCCTCTGGAAAACGTGGAACTCGATGAGTAGCACCAACAGGATGTACAGGACGCCTTGGATGGCCATGAAGACGAGGTACGAACCAATGCCAGGCAGGTCCCAGGCCAAATAATTTTCATCAAAGTTCACACAGAATTCATACTTGGACAAACACCATTCTGAAATAAATCGAGTTCACACAGAATTCATACTTGGACATACACCATTCTGAAATAAATCGAGGCAGGTTGATTCTCTCTGATGTAATGCTTCATATAATAGTATTTGCGCCATAGCGAGGTGGAATCAGGCCCTATTGTGAATTTTTTGGGCAAACAGAGTTATGGGTATCATCTCAATCTTATAAAGCTTTTTCATTGTCCTTAATTTTGACAAAAAATGTACTCATCTATGTTGAAAAGAAGTTGAGATATTTGAGATTGAAGGAGGTAGGGGTTACTTGGTGTCAGAGGTAAAATTAGCGAGAAAACTGCCATCAAAGTTTGGTGACTTCCAAAGGTGTAGTGTCCATGGAAACTGCAAATTTTCATGCTTTGTGTCTTTTATCAACAATCTTTAGTAAAAATCCACTCAGGAATGTATTTCTAAATGGACACAAAAGGTGCTGACCCAAAAAACAAAAATTCGAAAAAAATTTCCTAGCCACCAGAAAAATAACTTTCTCCAGAAAAATGTTGCTATCTAGGCCTGGGATATTAGAACAGCTGTTCGACAAATATACAAACTCACGAGGACAACAAGGCGACGCTAACTCTTTAAAAGGACAGAAGGCCATCTTGGGCTCGCAGAAGTCGATGTTCAGGTAGTTGGTGTAGATGTTGATGA